TGCAGACAGCAAGGGCAAACTCAAGCATGGCCACTTCGCGATCACTTAGATCAGCCAATTTCCAATTCACAGCCACCTATACAAAAACAAAGCCACAAGGAATTACAAACTTCCATTTGGGTTCACTTAGGGTTAAACGGGAGATCTCTTAAACATGCACACTCAGATCAGGCTTGTGGCAAAGAAAGCAGAATCTTAATAACAAAGTTTGAAAAATACTTATGAATGCAAACTATAACACAATGCTGGATATTCCTAACAATGTAACCAGGTACAAGGTATTTTTTATTTCTTCACATATTTATTTATTTATTTATTTATTTTATTTAATCAATTTGTATGGCTGCCCATCTCAACAAGTGACTCTGGGCGAACAATATTACAATTGAATTAAAATTAATTATAAAACAATTACAAAATATGAGGGCATGTGCATTTCTCATTCTTGAAGAATGATAGTGTGTCTAGTAGCATCTGCTTTGGTAATAACCAAAGCAAGTTGGAGGATTGGGTTAGCTTCTGCAGTCTTTAGAAATGGGTGAATTTACTCTATGCTTTCATTTTAACAGAACCTAATTTAGATTAACACAAGGAGAATTATTTTGTAATTGTTGCCCAGCCTTCTTTAAAAATCTTTCAACTGCAATTCATTACAGGTGCTACTTCTTGCAACCATATTCTCCGAATGGAATTCAGTGAAGAATGAAACTGTTAAGATAACATGGTCATGCAGACACACACCTTGGAAAGCTGGCCTGTGAATTTAGAACAGTTATGTTCACTCCTTTCTCCCGGTTTTCCCAACTTTTTCCACATAGATTCCAAGCTGCTGCGTGTACTTGATCAATGGCAAGGAAACGCAGGTAACAGCAAACTCTAAATTGGTTATGTGCTATTGAAAGCACAGCAGAAATCAAACCCACACACGAAAGGAAATAAACATGGGCCTGACCTGATCTGCCAAAGTTAGTTTCTTGGAGTAGATACGATGTAAGGCACTATGCGCAATTACACAGTAGGGACACTTGTTGACAATACTGGTAGCCACAATAATGAGTTCTTTGTCTGCCTTGCTTAGGTTTCCTATGGGAGAAAAGTGAGTCTTATTTCTACAGTTGCCTCATGACTTATTCCCCAGAGCAAGTGCTATAGGTCTAAATCAGTGTTTCTCAACCTTGGTGACTTTTAAGACGTGTAGCCTTCAACTCCTAGAATTCCCCAGCCAGCATGTCCACGTGTCTTAAAGTCACCAAGGTTGAGAAACACTGGTCTAAATTATCAGGAACTGGTCCTGCACTTGCTTTACTGCATTAGCTTAACCATTTCAATGCATGTCATGCAGACAAGCAACTTCAAAGAGAAATTAAACTTTCTATATTTAAATACTGTTCTCTTCTGCTAAGAATGTACTGGCAAATAGCCCATGAAAAGAGACTGATGGCTTTTATTATTCAACCTTGGAAAGAAGTACTATCTAAATATATACTGAACTCTAACAGCTACCACAGGATTCATAAAAATCTCAATCCATGCAGCACAGTTCACTATTTGCACAACCAATAAATACAGAGACGGAGATTTGGATCTCAAATAATCAGGACTAGAACTACAGTTTCTCTAGTGTGCCAGCAATTGAATAATTGCTGCAGTAATCTCCACTAATATACAGTTTCACATCTGAAGGCCTAGTTTTTAAAATAAATAAAACCATTCTTCAATATTTCATACTGGGAAATTCCATGAAACTTCCTTTTATTTTCACTGCAGGCTTTCATCATCAATCTTGTTTCAAGAATTACTAGAAAACCATGTTTGATATGACAATGGTCCACAGTAACTTTTTGACTGCAAACTAGGGATTCTTCAGGGATCTGAAAGCTAATGGATATTACTGTAATTGGCTGATTATTCCTGTTATATAACCAAGGAAGGCTTGAGCTGACTTTTAATTGCACCTATATTTATTGGAACTTCATATGCCACACTTGAATTAAGAAATTCTTATCAGGAAAAAGTTTCCATCAGTCAATGCATGGCTGCTATTCTTACCTGTTTCCTTGTTCATGATGGCATTGTAATAGGCAAAGAATGCCCTAAATTCTGATGGCCGATGAGCCATAATCTTAAACACATTGGGCAAAAACCCACTCTGAGAATTAAGAAAAAAAAGTCAGACATCATTTATGTAAGATTTTATCCAAGGTCAGTATTATTTCTATTCACAGATAGCTACAAGACAGAGTTATTTTGGATCACGTAGTGGAGAACTACAGTGATATTAATGGGGAACAATAATCAGTCAATGGCAAAATACATGTTTTCCTAGGAGAAGATCCCTGGTTCTCAAGTCTTGTCCTTTCTAACTGAGGCAGGCAAGAGCCAGGAGAACCTCGTTAACTAGAGAAGACGACACTTAGCTATATGGACTAACAGAATGACCTGCTATCAAGCAGCTTTTAATAAAGTCTAGCAAATATTCTTTCCCCCAAACAATAGCCCTGAGACCCATTAAGATAAATATAGCTCAATAGATGCTCAGTCATCCTGATGGCTTTTGTAGTTCTAGAAGGTGAGAAGAACAGGAGATTTATATTGAATTCTTGAAGGCATATGACTGATAGCCTGATGGCTTTGCAGGCACACAATATTCATCTGAGTTTCTAATCTAAGATACATCAATTTGCTTAGTAGTGTTTAGAGTACTGAATTCAGACAATGTTTAATCAGAATTTTTATATTTTCATGTCCTGCTAAAAAACATTCTTCATTTTCAGATGCCTCTTTCACTGATACAACGGACAAAAACAGCCATCAGAAGCTCTCAGAGCCAAAGGACAAAATGGTTAGCAATGGATGGAGATAGGAAATATAGTCCCACCATAAGGAAAGTAGCACGTTTAAGCAATCAAATCTTTATTACAAAGACCAGCATAAAGTAGCATGTTGGAACAGATTAACATAAAAGGGAAAACACAGCAAGCCTTTTTGAATGGGCAGGATTGTTCCAGTAAGGTATTCTTACCTTTACTTCTACTTCCTCCATGAGCTCTACTATATCATATGGCAAATCCGTCTTCTTGGGTACTGGATAGCGTCCAATTGGCTTAGTAGTATTTTCTCCCTCTGTGCTCTTTGCATGATTCAACACTACACTTTGGGATCTTCCCCATAAGTTTCCTGATACACTGAGAGGCAGAAACTAAAATACAGAAAGGAAGAGAATCTTACAATCTTCTTACATAGGGTATGAAATGATTGTTTTATTGTTTAAAACACCTTTAACAACCCTTTGCCCCCCTACAACCCTTAGCCCCCCTACAGCCCTTAGATCTTTAGTATCACTGTAGGTCCAAGATCTTAATAGGCATTTCAAACTAATGCAATGAGTTTGTTAAACTTATTGCCTCTCCACCCATCATTTTGAAGAGGAGATGCTCTCATCAGTGATAAACCTGAGTCTACTATCTATATACTACTAAAACTCACATGTCTGTAACCTTCAACTGGGCAATACAGTGCATCATAGAGCAACAATTTTTGAACCAAGGTACCTCAAATAGGCTAACTTACAGAATACATCCAAAATCCAGGACCCATTACTTCCATGGGATTGAAATTGCTGCAAGCCTATATTATATGTGGAAAGGAAGGGATGGAGGAAGGAAGGAAGATTTCTGATGCTCCCTGCCAGCTTCCCACAAGTAAAATCAATGGGGAAGCCGGCAGCAAATCGTAAATCACTCCCACTACTTTTTTGCCCTTGGTCATTCTATTTCTCTGTTTAGGTAAGGAAATATCTATGAAATGATGACCCAGTGGGTCATGGGTTATCTAGTCAAACATAAAGATAGCTTTTTATATGCGTAGTGATACTTGAAAACCCTACACCTAAAGATATTGAGAATCATGGAACTCCGTAAATAATCTGTGTACATCCTGATCACTGATTTAGATTCACATCTTAAATCCAGCTGTTTGGGGCTCAACCATCACTGGCTTTTCATGAATATTCAAAATGAATGATATTGTTAGCACTAGATCCTCTTTGGGACATCCTTCTTGCCACCTTCTTTAACAGTTCAGGCTCAGACTCTTTTCTGTTTAGAACAGAATATGTGAGGAGAAAGCAAGCAGAAGGGCCACTGAAACAGAAAAATGGCAAAATATCTCCCAGTTTTGGAACTCTAAAAAAAAAATAGAAGTAAGGGAACTTTAGAACTCAGCTTTCAGAGATATTCAAATTCTGAATGAAGAGGATCAATGTTTTCTTGATGTAAAGACCTGATAAAATTAGAAGACACTGATATTGTGAGATTCACTTTTACAGTCATTTTCTCACAAGGGATTTATCACGTCTTCTTAGAGTTGTGCCAAAACCACAATATTAAGGGAAGGCTTTATACCACTTCACTGATGGTTGGGGTGATGCTATGAAGACCTTGTAAGTCATTGGTGGGGAACTCGCCTAAGAATACCCACTTTTGAAAATGCGAATGGTAGCCTTAATCTGCAATCCTGTTAAGAAAAAACTATCCCAGTATGGAACTTAAAGAATTCAGAGAAGGAGGTTATCTTGCCTCTTGCCACTTAAGTCAGAAAAATGATAGAGATATCAACTGAGGTGGGGGGGGGGAAGAGGGGGGAAGGGAAAGTGAGTGTATGAAAGCGATTTTTTCTCATCGACATTTCTGTCAAGGAACAGTTGCTTTTAATTCTCTCCTTTGGCGAAGCAATGGCCTGCTCCATACTTACACAATGACACTTTTTGAGGGACACCGGAAAAAAAGCTATTGGGAAAAGATTGCAATAGGCAAGATGGTGCTTTTGTCCAGACGGGACAGCCGCGACCTTGCAACAAGCAATTTCACAATGAAGAGTTCAAGAGTTCGTTTGAAATGATCACCGAGCACAGTTACAGAAGATCTGCTCGCTGACGTTTTCCCTGGAATCTCCCCACTCTTAGCTATACTGTAAATACAAGTAAAGGAGCTGCCCCCATCCTCTCCCACGGCTCTCCTGGCCGAAAGCGCCCCCGCTGAACGAGGGCGAAGAAGCGCCGCTCCAGGAAAGCGTCGGACGACGCGTGGGCTCATCCCCGAGAAACGCCCTGCGGCGCGCAACCCCGGCAGCCCGGGCATCTGGGCAAGGAGGGTGGAAAGAACGGGCGGGCGGACGGGGGAAGCGCTACTCACAGAAACCGAGCCGCCGCCGCCGCCGCGGAGCTGCCGGAAGCTGGAGAGAAGAAAACGCCTGATCATGACGCGACCGCGGGAAAAGGAGCAAGCGAGCGCTTCTGGCAGCCCGAACGCGATCCCGTGGTGGGTCTTTGAGGAGAGAGGAAGCACGCATGCCCGACACGGTCTCCCGAAACCGCCCTCTTTATGACATCATTGTGAACACGCCCCCCCAAAGCCCAGCTGCCCTCACCGGACCGAGCTCCTTCCCCTGCGCGTGGCGCGGGGACGAAGGAGAGCGGAGCCGGTGGGCGGGAGCGAAGCCGAGCGAGGGCTGCGAAAAGTTGCAGCGGAGAGACTGGAAGAGGGGGGCGGGGGAGGAGTTCAGTTTAGGCGAGAAGAGACAACTCAGTTGAGATTTGGGGAGGGGGCGTGGCCCGAGACTGCCTTAATTGGCTCGCAATAAGCCCGCCTGGAAATTCCCTGTTGCCGTTTTCAAGGTTAGGGGTTTACCCTGACCGGTCTTAGAGACCTTTCGGAAATCGGTGCGGTTCTCGCTGCGTTGGTTGGGCTTTACAACTCGCAACTTTGCTAAAGCTCAGTCGCTACACTGGGCGGCAGAGCGACCAGATCGGAGCTGCAAAATCCGAAGGACCGCTCTACAGCAGCCAAGAATTGGTGGTTGCTGGTTCTCCTTGCTGCCTGATGGGGGG